TCTGAAGATTCTTGGAGAACTGCTTTTCTAAAAATGTTATACATATAATAGCACACTATGTCAAACGCAAATGCTATTGGTATGAATGTTACGTTTGGTTGATTATCACCAGCCTTGAGTTTCCAAATCTTCGCCAAATGTAATTTGTGAAGTATAAAATGATTTTTTGGTGGTACTGGGACCGCACAAAGAACGACTGCCTGCCGTTCCTGTTTCTGGGCCAAGGAGAAATTTTCAATAACTTTCTCATTGAAGAGCACTGTGAGCAATTCTGTTACACTGGTGGGTTACTAGTAACAGTTACAAGTAGAGTTATACTAATTTTACTAATCTTCCAGGTTTGTGCACAGTCGGATCGTCACTGCTGCAGATCATGGGATCACCTGCCACATTCCATTTCGGAGGACTGTCCCTATCACGACACAACAGGACACGTGCCAGAACAATAGATGTTTCCCATCTAGGGGTATAAAAATTACTGAGAAAACAATCAAGCTCTCTTATATCTCTTTAGGTAGTGTTTGCAGCCAACCGTTAGCCGTAGGGATATCCTGTCGCGCAGCTTCATTGCCTCAATATTGGTATAACGTTACGACTGGAAGCTGTCAAATGTTTATGTATAAAGGGTGCTAAGGGAATTCGAACAATTTCTTGACACTTCGTAAGTGTCAGCATGCCTGCGAAGGAACCGAAGGTACCAAAACCAAGTTCAATAAGGATTTCTGTACTTTGATGAACTTACAACAGTTGAGCCAAAGTGCCGGCACGGAGTGGCGTTGCGGAACGAGGATGGCAAACTCCATCGATGCGATGATCAGACTGGGTTTGAATGTCCAGCAAATTATGAATGCACTCGACAAGGGGTGCTACTGGATGCTGTCCTATTCCAGGTTATTATGCTGCGGTAGCAGTTACAAGATTTATATTGAACATTAGTCTTGAAAGAGACTTACTGATCGAACAGCCTGGGACGCGGAGTTCAAAGGGGAATTGTGAACTTGAATATTTTCGCTGTCGCACTACCTTTAGATAAGACAAAATAAAGGAGAGCCATGAATTTTCTAATCTTTTGAACATCATCAGACTTTGAAAGTGGTTTTGTGAAATACGAAAAGAAGAGTTGAAATTACACCAGCAGACCTATAGGTAATCCGAAAATCTATGGCTGCAATGTTTCTCTGCTGGCCACTTTTGAGGACATTAACATTAATCATCTCTAATCCGCTATGGCGATAAGCGCTTTTCAAAGAAACAAAAATTCCATTCCCTGTTTTTTCCTGCGAGAGTCCTGAGGATGCGCGATACGAGACAAAGTCATTAATCTTCACAATTCTCCCCCTTCTTCGCATAAGTTCCTAAATTCTTCCACATAAACCTACTATTTAGATCAAGCTCTACCGGCGAGTGCTCAATTAAATCCAAGTTTCGTCACTTATGCTTTGTTACAGCTGTTGAAAATGTTTTTCGCATTTTGCTTCTTGATTTTTAATTTATTCGTCTTTTTTCACTTCAATCCACGTTTTTTGTTGCGGATTATTAGTAGAGCTTTACATACACTACAAATGATAACTCGTAATTTTCTGTAATGTCAAGGGGGGCTTTCATTTTTGAATTCCTCATATAGCACCGCGAGCGGGCCCTGACTACGGCCACTGAAATTATTTCCCTTGTAAGTCTCAAGGTCCAACAAATATCAAATCTGCAGGAATCTACTAAGTATTCGAAAACACTCTGCTATTGCTTCTATTGCCAGATATTAGAATGATCAACTGTCGGTGTCAGGGATCTGAAGCTTTTTAAGCAATAATGTTGCTTTTATTAAGAGAAATACTGAAAAACAGAAGTTTCGACTGATATCATTCAAGCTGATGGGATGTCATTCATGTCCAATTCTTTCATTTCCTTGTCCAGTTCTTTCATTTCCTCGTCCAATTCTTTCATTTCCTTGTCCAATTCTTTCATCTCTCTGTCCCATTCCTTCCAATCCGCCAAGTCTATTATTGGACCCATAGAAGTTCAGAATCCACGATTATGCATTCCCGTTCCTGCTCCTCGTCCGCCATACATGTTGCCGCCATCTGGCATACGGAGAGCGAAGCCACCAGGAAATTTGTGACTTGCTTCTTTGCCCCATTCCGGTCTTACCTGTCCACCGCGCAGTCCCGTTCCTGCGCCTCGTCTGTCGTACATGTTGTCGCCACCTGGGAATCGGAATTCAAAGTTACCAGGAGGTTTGAGAGTTGCTTGCATGCCCCATTCCGGTCTTATTTGACCACCATGCATTCCCATTCCTGCGCCCCCTCTGCCATACATGTTGCCGCCACCTGGGAATCGGAATTCGAAGTCACCAGGAGGTTTAGTTGCTTGCATGCCCCATTCCGGTCTTACTTGACCACCGCGCATTCCCGTTCCTGCTCCTCCTCTGCCATACATGTTACCGCCACCTGGGAATCGGAATTCGAAGTTACCAGGAGGTTTGAAAGTTGCTTGCTTGCCCCATTCCGATTCTTTGTCGCCACCTGGCAATCCGGTCACTTCGGTAGGAAGTTTAGTAGCTTTGGTAGTTGCTTCTTTTCCCGATTCTTTGTCTCCACCTGGTAATTCGCTTACTTCGTTAGGAGGTTTGGTAGTTGCTTCTTTTCCCGATTCTTTGTCTCCACCTGGCAATTCGCTTACTTCGTTAGGAGGGTTGGTAGTTGCTTCTTTGTCCGATTCTTTGTCGCCACCTGGCAATGCGGTTACTTCGGTAGGAAGTTTGGTAGTTGCTTCTTTATTCGATTCTTTGTCTCCACCTGGCAATTCGGTCTCTTCGGTAGGTTTGGTAGTTGCTTCTTCATTCGATTCTTTGTTGCCACCTGGCAATCCGGTTACTTCGGTAGGAAGTTTGGTAGTTGGTTCTTCTCCCGATTCTTTGTCTCCACTTGGCAATTCGGTCATTTCGGTAGGAGGTTTGGTAGTTGTTTCTTTTCCCGATTCTTTGTCGCCACCTGGCAATCCGGTTACTTCACTAGGAAGTTTGGTAGTTGCTTCTTTACTTGATTCTTTGTCTCCACCTGGCAATTCGGTTACTTCGGTAGGAGGTTTGGTAGTTACTTCTTTTCCCGATTCTTTGTCTCCACCTGGTAATTCGCTTACTTCGTTAGGAGGTTTGGTAGTTGCTTCTTTTCCCGATTGTCTCCACCTGGCAATTCGCTTACTTCGTTAGGAGGGTTGGTAGTTGCTTCTTTGTCCGATTCTTTGTCGCCACCTGGCAATGCGGTTACTTCGGTAGGAAGTTTGGTAGTTGCTTCTTTATTCGATTCTTTGTCTCCACCTGGCAATTCGGTCTCTTCGGTAGGTTTGGTAGTTGCTTCTTCATTCGATTCTTTGTTGCCACCTGGCAATCCGGTTACTTCGGTAGGAAGTTTGGTAGTTGCTTCTTTTCCCGATTCTTTGTCGCCACCTGGCAATCCGGTTACTTCACTAGGAAGTTTGGTAGTTGCTTCTTTACTTGATTCTTTGTCTCCACCTGGCAATTCGGTTACTTCGGTAGGAGGTTTGGTAGTTACTTCTTTTCCCGATTCTTTGTCGCCACCTGGCAATCCGGTTACTTCACTAGGAAGTTTGGTAGTTGCTTCTTTACTTGATTCTTTGCCTCCACCTGGCAATCTGGTTACTTCGCTAGGAAGTTTGGTAGTTACTTCTTTTCCCGATTCTTTGTCGCCACCTGGCAATCTGGTTACTTCGCTAGGAAGTTTGGTAAATGCTTCTTTATTTGATTCTTTGTCTCCACCTGGCAATTCGGTTACTTCGGTAGGAAGTTTGGTAGTTGCTTCTTTGTCCGATTCTTTGTCGCCACCTGGCAATCCGGCTACTTCGGTAGTAAGTTTGGTAGCTTTGGTAGTTTCTCCTTTTCCCGATTCTTTGTCTCCAAATGGCAATTCGCTTACTTCGTTAGGAGGGTTGGTAGTTGCTTCTTTGTCCCATTCTTTGTCGCCACCTGGCAATGCGGTTACTTCGGTAGGAAGTTTGGTAGTTGCTTCTTTATTCGATTCTTTGTCTCCACCTGGCAATTCGGTCTCTTCGGTAGGTTTGGTAGTTGCTTCTTCATTCGATTCTTTGTTGCCACCTGGCAATCCGGTTACTTCAGTAGGAAGTTTGGTAGTTGCTTCTTCTCCCGATTCTTTGTCTCCACTTGGCAATTCGGTCATTTCGGCCGGTTACTTCACTAGGAAGTTTGGTAGTTGCTTCTTTATTTGATTCTTTGTCTCCACCTGGCAATTCGGTTACTTCGGTAGGAAGTTTGGTAGTTACTTCTTTTCCCGATTCTTTGTCGCCACCTGGAAATTCGGTTACTTCGGTAGGAGGTTTGGTAGTTGCTTCTTTATTCGATCCTTTGCCTCCACCTGGCAATCTGGTTACTTCACTAGGAAGTTTGGTAGTTGCTTCTTTATTTGATTCTTTGTCTCCACCTGGCAATTCGGTTACTTCGGTAGGAGGTTTGGTAGTTACTTCTTTTCCCGATTCTTTGTCGCCACCTGGAAATTCGGTTACTTCGGTAGGAGGTTTGGTAGTTGCTTCTTTATTCGATCCTTTGCCTCCACCTGGCAATCTGGTTACTTCGCTAGGAAGTTTGGTAGTTGCTTCTTTATTTGATTCTTTGTCTCCACCTGGCAATTCGGTTACTTCGGTAGGACGTTTAATAGTTACTTCTTTTCCCGATTCTTTGTCGCCACCTGACAATCTGGTTACTTCGCTAGGAAGTTTGGTAAATGCTTCTTTATTTGATTCTTTGTCTCCACCTGGCAATTCGGTTACTTCGGTAGGAGGTTTGGTAGTTGCTTCTTTTTCGCCCGATTCTTTGTCGCCACCTGGCAACTCGGTTACTTCGGTAGGAGGTTTGATAGTTGCTTCTTTGTCCGATTCTTTGTCTCCACCTGGCAATTCGGTTACTTTGTGGGGAGATTTGGTAGTTGCTTCTTTGTCCATTTCTTTGCCGCTTGGTACGGAGTCGACGTCACCAGGAGGTTTGGTAGCTGCTCCTTTGCTCGATTCCGGTCTTATTTGATCACTCATTCCCATTTCTGCGCCTTTTTGGCCCTTTGCGCCATGCACATTGCCGCTCCCTGGTATTTTAAAGTCGAAGAGATCAGCAGGCTTAGGCAGTGCATTTACTAGCTCCTGCGGAGTTAGAATACCTCAATACATCAGTTCAAGAACAGAACAGTTTTTGCGTTTCATAAACGCATTGTAACAAATTACCTTGTCCAAGTGCGGAACAGGCCAGAATACCAAGTGCAAAGAACTCAAGCAACATTTATGATTGAATCCTGAAAAAATTTTGGAAGCTTCGTGAATACCTTAGTTAGCGAGTTTGGGAAGGAGTTATTGTGAGAACGCATTTTATGAATTAGAAATATGTGCTTTGATGTGACTGTTGTTTTCCTAAGGCTTGGACTTTTTTCTGCAATCTACAAGTTTGTTCGAATAGGTAATACTGATTTGCTTTCGATTGGACTCTGAAAAAATCGACATTGCTGAGACATCAGTCTTTCATTATACAATAACGCTCACATTTTTTGAAAAATAGACGCGAATGTATGGACATGTATGGACATGTACGGACATGTCCATACATGTATGGACATGTAGCGACGTGCCCATACATGTCCATACATGTCAATACATGTATGGACATCATCGTCGCGTGGCCATATCTCGCTTTAGAGTGGACAAATTCTGAATTCAAAGCCACCATTCGATTCAGCTCGGCGCGGAGAATCTTCTGATATTAGGTTGGTTCATAATTAATGCACGTTTTTCCTATCTCTTCTTTCAAACGCTAGTTTTCAATGAAAAAATCGTTTTTCTTCAAAACTATCTAAACTATCGGAAAGCTCGTTTCTTCTACTTTCAAACATATATTTTCCTTTTCGGAGATCTTTGTTCAGGCCGAAGTTCTGTGTTTTTCAAAGTGAGGAACTCAAACTTGAAATTTTTTCTTTTCATTCGATTTGCCCCAATTCCACGAAAAATGCTCAAATTTGTTTTAAAAAATACGTGTTATAATCGCGAAGGTTTGTGCTAAAAAATGCCCACCAAGGCTAAATGTTTTAGAAATCCTGAGCCGAGAAGCTTTGACTCAAACTTAGCTGAATGCTGGGATCACTAGGGGCTTTATAAAATGCTTACATGAGAAGCATTTACAGAACTTTCACTTGGTTTTGGTAGATCAAAGACTACTAATAATAGGAAAACGGCAGAATTTTCTCGTTTTTGAAATGAGAAAAAATTGAAGGAATCTAAAAAATACAGATTCTTGCCTTCTCTAAAATGCAGAAGAAAATAGTACTTTTACTTTCTTGGCAATATTATTTCCGCAGAAAATTTTTGGTAAAAACCAAGTTCCACCCTACTATTGAATCGACCATTGGCTACACAATGAGCAAAGTTTGCTCCAATCTAGTCCTCTTGAGAGTAAGTCATGCTTCTTCAAACTAGAGCTTTTCGGAAAAAATTTTCAGTAAATTTTGAGCGGTAAAATTTTTTCCGTGGTGAGTACAACTACACAAAAGTATACGTTGTATAGCTAAAAGTTGCTGTTTACAATGGTTTTTGTTGCGCTCAGAAAAATTGTTTCAAAGAATTTTTTTCATTAGAAGTGGAAGATGAGAAAACGTGCATTAATTATGAACTAACCTAACCAGGGCTTGTCGAAATGCTATCACACTTGCATCGCGGGCAATTCCGTCATCTTACTCTCAAAATGATGTGAACGGTTATGATGTTTACAGCGCTTGTGCTCCAGTGCCTTCCAATAAATACCATTTTGTAGAGCCGGCTCAAACTTAGGTTTACATTTTAAATCACATATAGCTTCACTGATGTAATACGATAAGATTAAGCAGGATTTTGAGCGTGAAATTGTTACAACTCTCACCAGAAACCAACAAACCCGATCTTGACTTGGACTAAATGCAATGTTTGACTCTAATTGTGCAATTTGCACTTTCATAATGCTTCATCCATGAATTATGACATAACCGTAACAATTGCTATTTCAGTGCTCCATTGAAACGGTGATCACGGCACTCAGAAAGCTTTACGAATTCAGAAGTCAAAGACAGCGTCTAGGCAGAACTTCGAACAAGAAATTTTCTGCTCAACTGAGCTTATTCTTCACGCTGTTTCCAAAAATGCAGCTGCAGTTCATGAAAATGTCGAAAACGGGCTTTAGAAACTCTAATTTTGAATTGAACGCCTGCAGCCAAGGTTGACGCAGAGTATTGTGAGATCCTGTGTTTTATCTGGGTACGATATGCGTACTCTGGCTATCGATTAGAGCTAATTAATAATGAAGGTGTACGCTGGGCTGGGAGTGTCTACCGTAATTCTAAACGGATGAGAAGCGATTGATGAACCCTTTTCGTAAATCTAAGTTCCAACCAAGGACGATGGAATGGTACCTAAAGGGCGAAAGCCAAAGAAGCGAGAATATTATAGACAATCAAAAGGCGTTGGCTTACTTTCAAGAAACATCAGTGAAGTTTACATGTCTTCGATGTGAATTCAACTGCCGTAGTGTTAACAAACACAAATTGTTTAGCCGCGCTATAACGAAACTTATCTCCTTATTCACGTCTATCTGACGATAGCAGGTTTCATCTCGGATCCCGCCCTGGTGTAGCCGAATCGTGAGAGGGTATTCTGGCACGCAGCAAAACAGATCTTTTCAATTACACTTTTCCGCATCAACCCGCCCTGCTCTTCCATCTTCTCCTTGTCGCATGCAAATTTGCAGTGAAACGAACTTGCCTTCTATCCGTCTTCCACTGCTAAATCGCAAATGAAAATGACCTTTACACTGCTGCAGCTTACATGACAACGGGAGAATGACTAATAATGATCAAAGTATTCGTTTTCCTAGATGCAAGCAAGCAAATTAGTAAAATCATTAGAACAATCTGGCGAATTTCGCAAAATGTAGCCCAAAACAACCGTCGGTTCAAAAAATCCATGTACGCGAAGTATTAGCTCAATCAGTCCGTGCACAAACTATACAGTCTGTAAGCAACACACACACACACACACACACACACACTTATTTCCATTATAATCAAATAAACTTCGAAATGGTCTTTCTTTTCCTTGGCGATCACTGAGCTGTGTCGCAAAGTTCCAGGTGTAAGGTTCAGTCTTCGTTGGCAGTCTCTTCGAAGGCCTTTTGTTTTGCAAAGTAGTCGCTATGATGCGCTTAGTCGTCTTTTTATCATTTCCTCGGATGTCCTAAGTACACTTGAAAGCAACCTGCTCGATAGCGTTGCCTAACACCTTTCGTATCACAGAGTGTGTTCTTCATACACTCAATTCATCGGTTTAATAGGATCTCTTCCACTGATTTTTCGAACATCTTAGCACCGCTTTCCTTTAGTGATACTGCTGAAAAAAGAACGATGTCTTCGGCAAAACGAAGGTTTGAGAGGAGCATTCCACCAAGAATAGCCCTTCCCCTTTCAATATAGTGGATTCTCTACTTCTCCACTACAAGGCAAACATGGAGCGTTCCGGTAGATCCATCTTCAGAGAGACCCATTGTGGAATAGTATTTTACTTAAGTCGTTAATTGCGGGTTTGGTGTTGGGCAAGCGCATAACTTATGCGGCCACCATTGCACTATCGTGCCCAAGTTGTGACTTGTTTTGGGCTGTCGGGACCGCGCTTTCTTTACTTGTGACGATTTTGGGGAATTACGCGCCTTTATGTCGAGAAGAAATCGCAGCTCAGGTTTCGCATTAATGCTGCAAGAGGTAAATAATGTTTGCAAAAGTCCCATCGACAATTGTGTGCAAGACGTCTTCCTCGGCTGCTTCCAACATCTCCGCTTGTCTGCGCTTCCAAACCTTCTCGCCTTTGAGCTAAACTTCACTATTAGTTGCGCAAGTCAAGTTGCATTCTAACTCGGTTGCTAAGTGTCCTCGTGTATAAAAAATGAAACTGTTAGAATGTAATATTGTTTGACTTTTGTGAATGAAGGGTGTCCAATAAGGAAACGACTTGTTTGCAGCCCATTGAAGCTCATAGATGATGATTTGGGAACCAAAGATGGGACGTACATAAACAAAGGCCAGTCGGAACCAACAACGAAATATCATGGAAAGGGTGTGTTGCCAATGAATATGACGAGCTTTTTTTTTCTAGAAATTTCCCATACTTTGAAAGTAGAAAATGATTTGTTCGCAAGGCACACAACTGTATCCCAAAAAAGTGCACACTTTAATGTGGAGGGTGATTTAACTTAGATTTCTTCATTATTAAGGGATTACGATTGGAGTTTAGGGATGGCTTTCAGACCATTGAAACATATTTTGCTTCAGAAAGAAAAACAAACAAGCCATAAACTTGCATACTGGTTAATCACACTTCACTGTACTACCTTTCACAATTCTCTCGTCACATAGCTGAAGTCGCCTCCCAGACAAGGGGTATGGTAAACGCGCTGAGGTGGTCCTGTCTTGTCTTGCAACTCGAAAATATTTTTGATGATTTGCAAAGATTATGTATTGTGCTGGAATATTGCAGCGACATTTAGAATCCCAATAAAAAAAGGAGTGAGATGATTGGAAAATTACAGAAGCTTTCTAGTGGAATTGTCAACTATAAAGCATTTCCTTACCACATTGATCTTTTTGCGCTTTCTGAGTCAGACTACGCGAACACAACCTTTTATGTATTCGGACTGCATAACACGCGGATTCTCGACCACATATTAAGCAGGAGCATGAGAAGACCCGAAACGACAACAACTTGAATGTCGAGAACTTGGATGGACTGCTTTCATGGGCAGCGTCCGCGCAAGTCGGCCCTATATTTTTTTTCTTTGTTGTGCCTTACTGCTGCGCTAAACAAGAATACGGGCCCCAAATTGTTGAAACCGTCAAAAGGAAGTACTCGCAAGCAGTGGCGTATCGAGGGGAGGGGGAGGGCGCACCCCCCTCGGAAATGGGTCGCGAAATTTTTGAAAGTTGCTTATATGGGTTATAAAAATGTGCAGGTGACTAGTTACTTGTAAATAGGAATTATTTTTGCAATTTTTTAAAAATTCAAATTGGCCTTATAAAAAAATTTTGGTTTGTATATCAAATAATGCGCCTTTTAAAGCTGGTTCGAATTCTGTTTTCCATATCTGCGAAACGCGAAGCTGGATGGAGTTATGATCATTTTTTCAAAAATGAATTGCGCTATTGCGGAGGGTGAAAATCATCAATAGAAATTTTTATTTTCTCTCCATAGGCTGAATGTGTTTTAGACAGGTATAAA